GGAGGGACGGGGGCCGGGAGGCCGCGGACGAGGCCCCGCCCCCAACCGCCTTTTCAACGGACGCGGGCAACGGCGCAACTGGTGGGCGGTTATTGCTGCTACTCCCCGCCCCGCCGAGGAGAGAGGCGCAGCGCCCGTCGCTGTCTTCGTTCTCTGGCCGGCATGTTTGTTCCTTGCGATCATGGTGGGGGCGCCGCCTTAAAGGCTTCACTCTGCTCATGGTAGGTCGCGCTCCTGCTGCTCCTCGATGGGCTTGAGGGGGTGGGCGTGCTGCGCCGCTTCTTGGGGCCTGGGCGCTGAGGGCTTTTCTCTGCTCCGTGGGCCTTGTCTCCTTGGCTCGCCTGTGCCTGTGGGGCAGGAGAGCCGGAGCGCTTTGCTCTCTCCTCCGGGGGTTGTCCCTAGGCCCTTTCCTGTGGGGAACTGGAGAGGAGCTGCACAGGCGGCCGCAGTGCCCAGGTGTACATCGGGTGTTTTGCCCATTAAAGAAGGGGGATTTGCAGGGGTCTCTCCCAGAGCTATTTCCGGCAAAGCTTAATGCGATCTGTTCCGTTTCCATCAATTTTTCCTTAGTCCCCTGGTTTTTTGCACCTGGAGAGCTAAGCATTATGTGCCGAGCTATAGCGATATACTTTTGCTCCAGCCTTAAAATACTATGTGTCGTCTACAGGATTTGTGGTACCTGTGGGTGGCACTGGAATAAAAGGTTGGTTTTTTTCACTTAGATGCTGTGTTTTCAATGAAAAATTCCTCATTTGTGCTATATTTAAACTCCAATTAGGATTGCTTTAGGAAGTGTTTTAATCCTGTCCGTACACGGCATGCAGTCAGTTTAAGATATCCTTGAGGTTACTTTGCTTATTGTGGAGTAAGAGCTCCATTGCAGGCTGTCAAGCAGCAAACCATTATTTTTCCTATTAGTGAGACACTTTGCTGTATTATTTAAAAATTATTTAAAGATAATCTTATCGGCTTTCATGGAGGGCTGCACAGCCTGGGATGACTCTGCAGGCTGCACAGGAAGTAATTCCAGATCAGCTGACGAGCCACAGGAAATAGATCGCTGCTATTTTTTTTTTTGTCAAGGAGTAACAGGCTATTAAGTACCAGCCAGTTTGTAATGACACTCTGTAAGTGCTGCCATGTCCTCTTTCACCGTGACCGTACCAGCATCAAATTTGGTGTGTTTCTGCGATCGGTGGCAGCAGCAATTTATAGTCACAGACTTGCTTACGAATTAGAGGGAAGCAACCAAAAATTGTACTGTTGTAAATAAATGTAATAATTTCTGTAGAAAAACACAAACTCTTGAATTTCTGTGCCATCACTTTAAGTCAGTATCTGCACTGATTTGTGATAACCCGTGGCAATTCGTATGAAACTAATCCAAGATGACCTTTAGCGTTTTGATCCTTAAAAAAAAATCACATACACAGAATCACACACAGAATCGCTCGGTTGGAAAAGACCTCCGAGATCATCATGTCCAACCGTTCCTGTCTACCCCCTAAACCATATCCTTAAGTACCTCATCTACCCGCTTTTTAAATACATCCAGGGATGGTGACTCCACCACCTCCCTGGGCAGCCTGTTCCAGCTTCTGACGACCTTCTCAGTAAAGAACTTCTTCCTTATCTCTAACCTGAACCTCCCTTGGCACAGCTTGGTGCCGTTTTCCCTTGTTCTATCCCCCATCACCTGGGAGAAGAGACCAGCACCCACCTCTCTACAACCTCCCTTTAGGTAGTTGTAGGTGCTGATGAGGTCTCCCCTCAGCCTTCTCTTCTCCAGGCTAAGCAACCCCAGTTCCCTCAGCCGCTCCTCATAAGGCTTGTTCTCCAGACCCCTCACCATCCTTGTGGCTGAATGAAAAGCAATCTCCTCTTGTATATGGATGAAGCTGAGATTTATAGGTATAATATGTAATATCAACATTACCGTTAGGTGTCACTTGAGGCCTGCCAATCTCGCCGTTTGAGTGACTTTAATCTACTCTGTTCTCAAAAAGAGAGAGGGAGGAGACAAGTTTCCAAGCCCCTCTTTAAGTTTACAATGAGACAGGATTATTCACAGAAGTGGCCAGGATGCTTTTGTGGGACAGAGGCCAAAGTCTGCATTAGTGCTCTGTTAAGAAATAGTCACCTTTGTCAGAGAATGAGCAGCCACTTTGAGAAATCATGTTTGACCAGAACTGAAGGAATTTAAACTTTAGCTATTTGAGAAGCGTATTGTATTGTCCACAAAACGCACTCTAAGTCAGTAACTTCTGTTACTTCAGCCAGCAGTGTCGGTGGGAAATGTAGGTCAACTGGCGATAGATCTGGTGATTTCCACGCTGGACATGACTAAAGTTGGTTACTTCTACACTGACTGCCTGGTGCCAATGGTTGGAAATAATCCCTATGCAACAGCAGAAGAAAACTCAGTGGAGCTGAGCATAAATGCTGAAGGTGGGTATTGAATGCTGAAGGTGTTTGCAAGCTGTATTAGGTGCAAGAATGTCACGTTTACATTTTTTGTTGTTGTTACGTTTTGCTTATGTGAAAAATGTTTAAACTAAGGTCAGTAGTAACAACTTCAGTAACTAACAGATAAGAATCCATTTACACTTCACAGAGGAAACTGTTCCTTTTGTTATTTTGGTTAAATAATTTGACATATGGAACCGGGAAGAAACATTTAATTTCAACCATGTTACAGTGCAGTCAAAACTCTCTGAGCTTTTAATACAAAGCAACGTGAAGTGTGCACATACTTACAGTAAACTGCTGGAATGCAAGCTGAATTTCTGGTGTAGAAGGATATTTATCCTCTCTTCTTTCCTTCCCATCTATGTTTGCCTTTTTCCTTATGAGATGTTTCTCCTTCTAATTCTCTCTCTTCAAATTCTTAGTTTATTGCCCTGTATTGATAATTGAATTTCACTTTTTTACCCCCTTAAATCATGGAAGTCTCAGAATAACCTGTGAAACTTTGCAAAGCCTCGTGATGAGATTGAGTCATTACAGGAGGCAGATCTTTACGTATTTTTCTTCATTCAGTCCTTTGAATTTACAGCAAATGAAATTGTCCGTTGAAGATAATGAACAAAAATACGTATTTTTAACACTATGGATATGGTCCCGTATGAATTGATAGCTGGAAGGTTTACTGTCCTGAGGTTTGTAAACTGGATAAACCTGGATACTTTTAAACCCAGATTTCTTTCTTGCTTTCTTCTTACAAAACGTAATTATTTCTTCTTGTAGTGTATTCATTACCTTCAAAGAAACTTGTAGTTCTGCAGATCAGATCCCCTTTTATAAAGGTATGTAAGTTCATTCATTGTTCTCGTTTCACTATTCAGTTTGAATCGTTCCGCTGGCAAATAGTGTAACTGGCCTAGGTAAATTTTAAGACATTCAAACAGACTAAATAAGCAAAACTAGAAGAACTATGCCACATTCTGAAACATTTTGTTTAAAAAAAAAAAAGACTGAAAAAAAGCAAAATCTTTTTCTCCTTTGTGCTGTAACACCCACTGCAGTTGGTTTGGTTTTAGCTAACAAATCTAGACTTCTGTGTGCGCTGAGGGTTGAGGTTTTGTTCCAGGGCTTGGAAAACCAAAACAGCCAACCTGTGCTTGCATATTTCAGTGTAAATATGCCCTTAGTTATTATCAGTCTTGAAAATACAAAATGGCTTGGGATTTGTAATTTTTCTCTTTACAGTTATTGTCTCTTTGTGTTTGTCTCTTATTCTAATAGCTTAAGTTTTGGTGTCACTCCAATTTAATTATTTCATAGTGTCTGTATTCATTTTAACTGTATTTGTTATATGAAAAATGAAGAATGTAGAATTATTTATTAACTGGACAGGGACTGTAATTTAAAATAAGCAGAATACCATGCCAGAAAAAAAATTCATGTTGCAGTTTTTAGCAGTTGAAAGTGTGGAAAAATACTGTGTGATCCCATCTTGCTGTAAAGTTTTTGCCATTGGTATTAATGGCACAGAAAACAGGTGGTATCGCTGTTGTTAACGTGGTCTTAATGATATTTTTTATCATTAGATGTGTAGTTTTGATTAAATAAACAACTAGAGCAATCCTCTGCTGTTTAAAAATAATCTGAAGACTAAATGGCTATGAAGCAAAATGTACATCACTGCTAAACATAGTGTACCACCTAGTATTGGTGGCTTTCGGCTCTCTTTTAAGAACACAATATATTTTTCATTTGTTTTTTTTTTTTCCCCTCTGTCTTTGCATAAAGAACAAGTACAAGCCATTCTGTGAAATGGTGCTTTCTTGGGTGAAAAGCAGCAAATGTGCCAGAGTCGTCCTTCTGTCCAGCAGCCACGCGTACCAGCGCGATGATGAGCAGCTCCTTGGGTATGTTTGTGTCATTAAAAGACCTAATGAAGGTTTCTGTTCTTTTTGACAAACTGACCTATTTCATATTACCATAGAATCACAGAATGGCTTAGGTTGGAAGGGACCTTAAAGCTCATCCAGTCCAACCCCCCTGCCATGGGCAGGGACAACTCCCACCAGACTAGGTTGCCCAAAGCCCTGTCCAACCTGGCCTCGAACACTTCCAGGGAGGGGGCATCCACAGCTTCCCTGGGCAACCTGTGCCAGTGTCTCACCACCCTCACAGTAAAGAATTTCTTCCTAATATCTGACCTAAATCTACCCTCTTCCAGTTTAAAACCATTCCCCCTCGTTCTATTGCTACCTGCCCTTCCCTCTACTGAGTACTTTTGGCAGGGTTCTTTTGCTTTGTCATTAAATACTTCATATACTACTAAACCATTATGTTACACAGGATTAGTCTCTGAACTTTGTTGGTTCCTACTGTCAGAAGTACTGAGCAAATAATAAGCTGTAAGTAAACTGCATTTGGCCTGCACTGTCAGGCAACAGAGCCTCAGTTTTAACTTCTTAATTTCTTGTGGCCACAAGCAACGTCAGGGATTAGTTGCTAATATACAGGTCACAGATTAGCTTTTTAACATTTAATTAGAGTATTGGTTAGTTTCTTACCTCTTCTCCATTATTCTGAATTCGGAAGGTTTTCTTTAATGTAGTAATTTGCCATTTTTTTAATAGGAAGTTACCAATTATTAGTTGTTGAGAAGCAACTGTAAGGTTTGGGTTTGGGGCTTTTTTTGTATTTTTATTAGCTATTATCCCTTAAAAAAAAAAGGCATTACTCGCTGCAGACATAGTAATTGGTGAAACTGGTATTTTTGCAAAAGACCAGTTGTTATCCTTAGGCTGTGTAAATGTGTAGGGCCTTAAAGGAGGTTTAAGTCCATGCACGTCCCAGATACAGTTCCTTGCATTCAGTTGCAGAATGGCCAGCTCGCATGGAATGCGGTGAAAGGGACTGGTGATTATTTGATGCAGTCTGAATCATAACTTGTGGTGATTTCAAGAAAAAGCACATTTTGTTTGTAAATCATTTTAACAACCACAAGCAGTACGTCTGTTTATGTGCTTATGTATCTGGTAGTTGCTAGTTATTTGAGCCTCTAAAAAGAGAGCACCTTAGTTCTATTTGCAGCAGAAAGTTGAGTAGCTTCTACTGTTCTGAGGCTACAAACTGCTTTTTAATTTTGATTTGAAGAGGAAGGGAACATAGGTAAAATTCTTCACTGCAGGTGTGAGCTCCTGAACACTTGCAGGTTCTTTCTGTCACAAGTAATAACCTTGTCTTGTCAGCCTAAATGTATTCTGGATTTGTTTCTAGGACACCGCTACGCTACCTACTTACACCTGATCTTGAGAAAGCAGTTGGAGGCCTTATGCAGGAGCTACACTGGAAAGAAATGGAAAAAATAGCTGCTTACCCTGGAATAAATGACACAGAAAAAGTTCTACACATTCCTGGGGGTGGAATCACAAAACTGCTGTTTACTGAGAGGTGAGGTGCCTAAAGATAAGCACAGAAGGCTGGCAGAGGTCTTGTTTTTGTACTCATGTGAAATTATCTTTTAAACAGCTATGCTATAGGAAAAGTTGCTCTTATAGAAAAGGGGTTTATAGGAATAGGACTTCTTCCAGATCAAGTCCATAACTAAGAGGGGAAAAACCAGGAAATTCTGCATCATAAAGTTAAAATATGATAAAAATGTAAGTGAATGGGCTAAAGAAAATAATAAAGCCTTTACAGTTAAGATCATGATTACTTTGGTATTTGATTTGATGCAAACCGCAATTTGTAAATAGTAAAATTCCTGTACCTGTGATACTTGAACTAAAAGCCTCCCCCATGACAAACAGTTCCATCGTCAGTTGTAACCAAAAAAGCCCCAAACTGAGCACTAATAATGAGTTAAGATTTCAGATCCAGCAAACAATAAGGTGTGGGGGTTTTGTTGTGTGTGCATCAGAAGTTGCACAAAAAGCATGTTTGAGTTTCAGATTTTGGGTAGTAGTACTCTCTTCTTACGGTAAAACTGTGTTAGCTCTGCAAAAGTGTCAAGTGGGAAATGCACTTCTATTTTTGTAGCTATGGTTTTTGACATGTGTCCAAGCTGTTGTATCCAACAGCAGGAGAGTTACTAATACCATGCTTGCCTTTGTACTGACTGCAGTACAGAAACAACACACAAACACAAAGGAAAAGACCTCCCAGGGCTTTAGGGAGAAAACACAAAACAAAAAAAACCCCACCCCAGTCTTCATACCCTAAATGAACAATTGGAAATACTGTGAGAAAAGTAGTGATACACAGCCTGCAGAACTGCTGTTTGAGATGCACAGAAGGATGAGTGGTTTTATCAAAGGATCTGTACCAGTGCCCCACCAGCACAAAAATGCAATGGGAGTATGTGAAAGAGGCCCTGAATAGCTCTTTCGTGACCTAGGATTCCTGCCTCACAAAGCAGAGAACAAATTCAAGACTAAGGAAAAAAAAAACCATGAAAATGCAACCAATGGAGTCTGGAGAGGAAAAATGTATGCATGTATTTTTACTTTTTGTTTAGTTTTCGTTTTGTTTCTTTTTTTACAAGCCATATGCAGATGGTTATTGCTTTAAATAAATAAATAGAATTGTTCTGGATTTAGAAAAGAAATAGAAATGCCTGCTCGTTTTTGTTGCAGCTGTTCAAATGGCATCCAGATGGCAGTTCTTCTGAAATTCTGCTCCGAAGGGGACAACATCCCTGATGCATTTGCTCTCATTAACTATCTTAATGAATGGCTCCAGCTAATGAAAAGTGAAGTAAGTGCTATTTGATCTAGAGTTCTTGCTTTTGTATTTTCTATCCATTGTTTTAATTTTTCTTCAATCCAGAACATGAAAAATGTTACTCAGCTGGATTTTAGAAAAATGTAAAATGTGGGTTGGGTTCATTTTGACCTTTGGTCATCAAAGAGACACCAATTTAAAGATCCATTTTGATTAAAATCTCACCAGAAATTTCCCCACCTGAAAACCCAGACCTAAACCCCTGTCCCTTTGGTTCACAGGTGTGAGGGGAAATTGCATAAAGGTTTGCTCTATTTTTGATCTTCAAGTACTCTTCTCTAAATCAGCTCACTGTGATACTGACACATGGAATGCTGCCCGCTATTTTAATACCTGTGCCAGAGAGAGAATGCCATCGTTACGATAGAAAACTTAAAGAATTGTTCTGTTTTTGTTGCAGAGCAACAATTCCACGGATACTTCTTCACCGTGGAAAATACCAAGTTCTTGGCGCTTACTGTTTGGCAACGGTCTTCCACCTGCACTCTTCTGATCAGTGGTGAAGTCTGCCGTAAGTCACGTGTGCAGTCTCAGACATCCCTTGGGGAGGGGATTACGTTGTACTTGCCAAACAGCAGCCGCCTAATTTGTTGTGTACATAAATTCTTTATTTAAGAAAAGTTCCTTTCACATACGTTGGGTAGTTAAAGAAATTAAGGTAATTTTCACAAGTTGACCAAAGAATTATGTTTTGTACAGTTGGTTATTGAATAACTTTGGTTGCATCTTTTTCTAATAAAATATTTTTTAACAGAACTGTTCCTTGTGTTTAAGTGTTATCGCTATGGAAAAGCTTCTGGTGCACCTTCTTAATGCAGCTGAGAACTTGAGATTGATGTGCACGCGTAGATTTTTTTCCTGAAGAAAATCCCCTACTGTTCTGTGTCAACTGTGGATCTTGGCTTTTTTTCAAAACCTCCCTGGTGATGGAAGCAAAGCTCTGAAGTGACTCCTGCTTGCGTTTTCCCAGTGCTGTGGTGGTCACTTCAACTGGGGAGGCTGCAAGCAATACAGCAGCCTGGTCGGTCTGTTCTGGCCTGCTTCTGTTGTGTAATTTCCATTCTGCTTCCAAGGGCTGCAGCTGCTGAAACTAAAGCTTTCTGGGTAGATGAGCCTTCTCAGACTGGGTTGATGATGAACAGAGTGCTCTGAAACATAAAGGAATTAAAACATCGCCCCGATATCGGGTAGTCTGGTATCTGTATGTTTTGTAAGCTTAGTCAGAAACACTACTTGTGTGATAATTCAGGTGTTCAATGTTTGTAATGGGACCTGTTACATTGTTAATCTGTGTGTTCAGTTTTGATTCTGGAAGCGTCCGGTCACATCAGCTTATTCAAAGTAATTTAAAATTTATTATTTCTGCCTTAAGGCTTATGAATTAGTAGTAGACATGACTTTTATATACAGGGTATATTTCTAAATATTTAGTCCACAAAATAGATTATTTTGGTTTCGTGGTGGTGTCATGCCAGTAGTACAAATGATGAGGAAAGGAACAGCAGCAGTCCTGAAGAAGAGACCTGTTAAAGGTGTAGAGGTAAAATTCAGTAGTCAGCTTTGCCTGAAAGCTTGTGCCTGTTGGTAAAGAGCGGCAAGTTCAGTCTACTCAGTGAACGTGTCTGATCACCCACCTTGGCGTAGGTTAACAGGAAACAGCAGGAAAAGGATTCTGTGTGAGTTGGGGGAGAGAAGCCTGTGCTGTTCCAAACTCAGGAACTGGGAAGGTGTTTGAACACCAGTGAGGTCAAACAATGTAACAGAGAGGGACAGCAGTGCAGAAACCACTAGCAGGTGATGGCAGGCCATGGATGGGAGAGGGTGCACTTCCATGGCTGGAAAGTGAGAATTAACCAAAATACAGTTTTAGGAATTTCCATAGGTATGCAGACTAATAAGCTGGTGAGTCAAAATACAGTCAGGGAACACAGACAAAAGGCTGCGTGTAGCACAAGGCAAGTCTGATACACCTACAACTAGTTTGGAAAAACTATTAAAATCTGAGACAAGGGCATAAATCGCTGTGAGGCAGACAGGAGAAACGAGTGTGCTTGTCTCTTTATTCCCAACACTCGTGCTGTGAGGGACAGCTCAGCTGCTGTGTGACAGAAGTTTCTTTCAGAAACAAACTGGTCTTTGTCACAGAAGCCTGAGGTCGCTGTGATCCTTTTGCTGAGGCAGGTGGGCTCTGTGTGGGACCGGTAAAGACTGCCTCTGAGACTACTTTTTTCTCCTCCTCCTCCTCTCCCCCATCATCCCCAATTCAGTACCTAATGGGTATGTGTATTTAACCAGCTATAGTCCAGTCCTGCACACTGACTTTCTAGAAGAGAAACGCTCAAGGCTTTCCCATTCCACATTTCCTGTGGAAAAGGTACTGGGTTTGGCCCTTGTGGTCATTGAGACAAGGGGAGGGCTGCTCCTGGGCCCGCGCTTGACCTGTGAGCAGGTGGTGGTGCAGGCTGCTCTGCTTCCACTGCCTGCCCTGGGATGCTGGCTGCGAGCCCAACTGCTGCACCCCCCTCGCCTGCCTACCCTTTTGCACACCAAAACCTTGCTGCAGAATGAGGTAGTGGTTTTGTCCTCATGGTAAAGTGGGGAGCACAAATAACAAGAAGTACCTCTGCAGCATTTCTCTTAGGAATGGAAAAACAATGGCAGCCAGTAACAGTAAATCACAGCTTTTCCATTTGAAAATCTGAAAGCCTGTCTAACTCCCTTTCCTTCAGAAGGCAGCCCCTTCCCTTCCTTCACCTTTTAAAATACATTTTCCCAACAGCAGAAGAATTATGGCCTAACAAAACATGTGCACCTGCCAGCAGCTCCTGGGCCAGTGAGCCAAGGCTTCTGCTGTGACAAGGCAGCCCTCAATAAAACCAGAGAATGCTCAGGTTTTGGAACTGGTCTCTCTTTATCCCTTTTGCCTACCCAAAATCAAATTCAGTCAAACAGCTTAGTCAAGGGAAGTCATTTAAAAAACCTTGAGAGCGAGGAAATCAGCATTTTGATTTGAAGAGTGAATCCATTGTGCAATAAGAGCCACAGTACGTTCAGCCCTCTACACCCCAAAAATAAAACAAATTAGTTGCATATTTATCTGTGATCGCAGCAGGTAAAACAATGAAGCACGTGCACGTTTCCAGTAGTTGTACACCTTATGCTTACTCGTAATTCAGAGAAGACAAAAATAATGAAAACACAAATCGTAACTGAAGGTAAAGTGCAGGAATGGCTGAAAGCTGTCCTATAAAGATGCATCAAATGGTAAATGGGCCCTGTTCCTGGATTCAACACCAACAGAGTTTATTGCAGTGGTTTTGGCCAGACCTTGATCTCACATAAACCCTCCTGCTCTCACAGCTGCACCGACTTGAAAATAAAAGCTAAATCAACTCCTGATGTTGTTTGCTCCTCCAGCACAGGCCAATACTGATCATCTTAAAAGAAATGGAAATAGACAAATGAGAGACTGAGGATTTAGACTGTTTCAAGGTGGTGTCAAGTATATACTTAGTTCAAGTAATGGCATTAAGTACCTCTTTGACTCAGCTTCACATTGAAGTTAAACACAACTCCAAACATCCTTGCTCTCACAAATGAGCCTTGAAACCAAGTTCTGTTAAGACTTGAGGCTGCTGCTCATTTTAGCAAAAATAGGTTTAGTTGGCCTAGATTCCCCCCCTCGTCCATGCTTTACCTTCAGCAACTGTGAAATTTGTACAAAAACCCATTACAAAAACATGCAAAGTACAAATTAGATACAAAACCCACCAGGTTCAGACAGTCATACTGAATGTATTTTTTTATGAATGAAGGTTTATCTGAAACTGCCAGCGAGCACAGAACATAGATCAGCTCTGTTACAGTAGGTACAGGGCTGAAACCCCATGAGGCTGCCAGGAGAAGCCCTGAGAGCAGCACTCCCGTTCACCCCTTTCCAATCCTGCTGTTCAGGCTGCGCTGGGGAAAACACTGACAGGAGAGGGGAGGTGCAAAGTAAAACGCTGTACATACAACACACTGTGATGGGACAATCCCAAACCCATCGAATTGAAGACACCGGTCACCTTGTGTGCTTTGCACTCGTCCCTCAGCACCCGTGAATTATGTGACCCTAGGGAGGGACACTGCATATTTCCCATTTTCCTCCCTTTAAAGCATCACCAACAAAACCACTTTCCCTTCACAAAGTGACTCTGAACGTTTTGTGCACGTTTTATAGCGAACATCAGAAGAATTTCCAAACTCATTGGTCAGATTAATAAAATAATATCCTCAGTGGTGTTATTATCAAAGAAATGTGCGAGAGCTCCTCCCAGCTCCAACTACAATGCTTGGCATTAATATTTGCATAAAGCCCATTCTAATCATTTTGCCATGTTCCAGTTAGGACAGGGTATCGGGAAACCTTGAGGTCAAACATTTCTTTTTCCGCAAACCAGACTCTGAACAGTTTCTCCCTAACATAATGCGCACACAACAGCGTATCGTCAATTTTAAAAAATATTTAATGCTGCCAAAAAGTATAAAAATACAGTAAGAATGGCAGTACAAACCAAAATATTTCCTGATTTCTTTCTTTTACATCTTTCTACATTAATACAGGCATTATAAAAACACAAGACAGCAAATTCTTTTGTTTTGCAAAGTAGCGCGCTGCTGGTGGTCTTCATCCCCTCGATGCGGTTTACGCTGTAAACAGATAACTGAGGTCTTCTTGGTACTTAACAGACCTCACTCTTTGTTCCCGAAGAGGGGTTCATGTCTCGCTTTGCATGTCAATAATTTGCAGTTTATAGCTGCAGAATATTCGCAAGTCCCGAAGGCTTAGGTGTCAGTCAGTCTCGGCCTGCGACATACAATGCAGAAGAAAGTCACCGATTCAGTACACAGTACGGGGGGGGGGGGGGGGAAGAGAAGAAATAAGGACAGGGGGTTTGCAACTCACTACAAACACCACACAGCTCCTCACACACTCCCTGTAGTAACCACCGTTGCCTTAGCAGGGCTACAGAAGGCTGCACCTCAAAAGACTACAGTCACCCTCCTCATGGCTTTGTAGGCCAGGCCTGGCAGAGCAGCAGGGAAATGAGGTGTTAGGCAAAGGTTTCGTGCAGTGAAGAGGACATCCCACCACTGGACGTGCTGGTCTAAGGGGAGGGAAGGCTCTGCGCCCAGGCACACGGGAAAACACCTTGGTACTTAAAGGTAAGAGTAAAATGCTTCTGAGGCCTGCAAGCACTACTACACTGATTCATAAAGCAGCTTGCTTACAGCAGTTAAGACACGCTAAACAATTCTGCCACATATTTATCCTTCCAATTTAAATAAAGACTCGGACAGAGATGCAATTTTGAACACATTTATTTTTTGTACATAAAAATGAAAGACTGACCTAAAACTTTGGGAGAAAACCAAAAAAGCCCAGGAAGACTACTGTGTGTTACGTCAACTGTGCAAATTTCACCCTCTGACTTAAGCCACGTGGCCATGCAGAATATTTCTTTTGTCATCGTTAATTTAGTTTCCTGTGCAGTCCTCAAGTGTCTCAGGTTTCATTATAATGCCAAACAGCAAACTACATCATTTGGTTAACATTCATTAAACTTAAAGCTAGCCAGGCTCTTGGATCGCCCGCACAACCCAATCACACGTACATGCGTACACCTTTACACCTCTTCCCTTTTCAGCGGGACGTAACTGATGCCAGTGAACCATTTTCCTCCAGGCTTAACAGAACAAGCTAAGTTTCACTTGTCACATCTTACTTCCACAAAATAAATCTGTTTGGTGTTTTTTCAAATCGCTTGCGCGCTGAATTCAATTATTTGACTTAACACATTTCAAGAAAAATACAGCTGTACCGTCCCCGAGTGGTCTGCCCCTGCACCAAGAACACAAACAGAAAACCTAAAGGCCTACTGCAAACCCCTTGCAGCAGAGGTCCCCACATTTGTTACTGATTTTTAACATAAAAACATGCATGATTTGTACAGAAGTGTTTATCTGAGAGTCAAACATGCTTTAATCAAATTCAAAGAAGTCCACTATGCACCAAGTATTTTGACTGATGTATTTCCAGAACAGAGGGGGAAAACCCAACACAGGGCGCTCCATTCCAAGTGTTAACAGCACTTTAGAAGCAGCACAGGACCAGCCAGCAGCTTGCCAGAAACTGGGGTGGGGGGAGACAGGAGAGGGGTCAGAAGGCACCTCCTTCACTTCTGCTCTTTTTGTGAGCATTTGCTATGATAGAGGTCACTGGGATCAACAGTTTTGGCCCATATTTGTTCCCATTTAACACCCAAGTTGTGCAAAACCGCTGTGATTTTGAATCCTACAGAATAACAAAGTATCACAAAGGCTCAGTTTGCAGTAAACAAAACAAGCCTCCCCCAGATTTTGGCTCTGAAGGATTACTGTGGGACCAGAAAGAAGAGTTTTATCTCAATTATCTCCTGGAATGCACTAAGGGATCTAATGTTTGATTTCCCTTCTAGGCCCATACTGCCACGGACAAGTCACTGCACAGAACAGTTTTGTCCAAGACTTGTACTGGCTCATGGTCCTTAAATTGTTACAGATACTTCAAATCACGTAACCAACTCAAACGTTTACAGATCAGCTGCTGACTGTGCCAGTCCTGCTTTATTGCAGCAAGAAGGTAACAGAGCAGGAGATGGTGTAAGATGGACCCTCCCGCCATGCCTCACCCAAACAAGAGGAATGCCTGCTCAGGAGGAGCAAGAGCACAGAAAAGCCAGGATTTAGAAGATGGAATCAGGAACAAATTCAAGTGACAACTTGGCAAGACACAGCTCAGTGTCTGCACAGGGTGCTGGTGGCCCAGGAAATCCTTCTCATGCAAACAAAGGCGATAAATGGCAGTGGGATTTCAGTGAAGGTTTCGCCTGCACTTTTTCCTTAGCTGCTTCTAAGTATTTAGAATAAAATCTGGAATATTTCTGTTAGAAAAGCATTTAATTAAATTCTATGTGTTCCTCTAGAACCAAAATATCTTTGTAAGGCACATACATTTACACTTACAATCAGTTACAGCCAATACTGAAAAACCTACCGCCTTCCCAATTTAAAGAAAAAAAAACAAAAAAAGAATCTGTTGCCAAGCCTCTTGCTGGCTAAAAGTTACTGTGGTTGTAACAAACATTTTAATACACATAAACTGCCTGCCCATGCTGTGTCACAGCCATCAGTAAGTCATTTTGCTATTAGAGCTGCATAGCTGGTCACTAACGCCACAGGACAAATTGTCTTGTTTTACTGCTACACAGCTTCCCAAATTCAGAACTGTATGTTCCAAGAAATGACACTTGTTTTTCCTTATCTGGGCCCTCAAGCATTTATTTACTACATAAACAGCACAGTCCAAAATAGTACTCGCTATTGTGAAATGAGAATTTCCAAGAGTAAACTCAGCTTAGCTTTGCGTAGTACATGTCAGACTATGTGGGCCCCACGCCTGGTATGTTACTACGAAGCTTCAACGTACTGGAAACCTTTCAAGTTAATTCCTTTGGATAAGGAGCAAAGTAATTCTCCAGTTCCTTTAGTATTTTTCAGCAGTAAATCCAACAAGTGGATTTAAAGACAAAAGGGTGGGGGAAGGAAAAGCCCCCATATCCAACAGAAAACCACCAAGCTGGGAAAACAGAGGAAGAAAACACGACTTCTCTGAAGTCACCCAACAAAGCAATGCTTAAATAAATAAAATCCAGGTTTCAAAGTGCAGTCCCATACTACAAGCTTTGAGGTCTCAGCTTGGATGACACAGCAAGCTGTGTACGGCCACATATGATCTCTGTATTCAAAGAGAATTTAAAGGACAGAAAGGGATTTGTGTTGAATCACTGTTTAGAAAGTGTTATTGTCCTGTTAGTGGAAAGGGAGTGCTCAATAATTTTAAAGTGACTGTAGCATAAGTATTATGCTTATGCCCAAATTATTAGCTTTTAAGTGTTTTAAGCCATGCCTCTAATACAGGGAACCTGAAAAGCAATTCTAGACTTGGTGAAGTTACGGAAGTGGCTCATACGGCCAAAAACACCGGGTACGCGAGAGCACTACCAACACTTGCTTTCTACCACAACCACCTTGGCAGCCCAGCCATAGTTTCCTTTGATGCGCTTTGTACAGCTATTACTGATGAATGAACGTTACTCTTTCTAGCAATTAAAATCTAGAGAGACACAAAACATTCTGCTTCACATTGAATGGAATGTCAGAACCTGAACAATGTTGGCCTTCAAACAGTAGCTGAAGTTTGAACACATGAATCGCTTAACAGCACGCTTTTCAGTGGGGACTAAGTTCTCCAAAGCCTTCAAAAAAAAATCTGATTTCAAAGCCATACTTAAATAATGAAAACTACAAAAAAAATAAATAAGGAATGCAAATTAACAGAGTAGAAATTGGTAAGTGCTTCCTCAGACCCCTAGCTGCTCATATCATCAATTTGAGTCAAAATATGGGGCATGGTTGCACTAGTATTTTCATGCACAAATTATATTTAGTCTCAAAATGAAATTCTTTTTGGTCAGAAATTTGTACAAACTGAGTTTTTAAAAGTACAGTGAACTACAAAAAGATTAAATATGCAATTATAAAATATATTTATCCTAGGTCATAAGAATATAAAATGCTTATGCTCATGTCACTAGTACAGTACACGTTACACACATTTAAGGATAACTTCTTTGCATTAATAACGTAAATGATACAACACTGTTTATTGCTTATGTCAGGCGTGTAAATTTAAATCCAGACAGCCTTCAGTAGCTAAACCTCTGCGGTTCAGGGTTTGCTTAAGAACCGGGAGAACACCATTTTAAAAAGTGTATAAACAGTTGCAGCAAGTTTGTACCTACTCATATAAACAAAAACACATCCACTCTGTTGAGGGGCAGCAGTTCATTGTTATAAGTACCTGCAGTGCAGTGGAAAGTCCTGAGATGTTGACATGGGATCAAGTTTGCATCACTTCTCTATTTTATGTAACGGTCTGTACCCATTCCAGGTGAAAGGAGGTTACTGCTTAAAGTCTCACCCCTATGGTCATTAACTTGCAGCAAAATGAGCTGCTGGAGCAGACAGGCTTACTGTTCACTTACAAGGAACGTTTTTAAAAAAACTTTCTCCATAAAGTATAAGCGCCAACTAAAATCAGTGTACCAAACCCAATCTTAGTGAGAATAGGTTTCCAATATAACCACCTTTTTCTTTTTCTTTCAGTCTCATTTAGCTTCTGCCTCATCTGCTGCAGCTTCTGGGCTGTGTTAGCTTTTCTGTCCTCTCGCAGTCGTTTTCGGACAGTACTAAAAGAAAAAAGGTAAATCTTAAATGGTAGAACAGGAAAAAACACTACCAAAATATTAAAACAAACCTCTTCCCAACACACTCCTAGTAGTTAACTAACCCACCAGTAGCATACGGCAGAAACATGTAAAATCTGAACCAAGCAATCTTTATTCTGTTTTAACAACCTTGATGTGGACAGTTTCAGGTCAGTGAAGTCCCAGGAAGGAAATGACGCATGTAAAGGCTTAAGTGGTGCCCGACCTATGTGTTCAACAGGGAACAGGGGGCAGGCCCAAGCGACACAGGGCCTCAAGGCCCAGCAATTTGGATGGCAATTCCCAATACAGCAGCTCACAGCTGAGGCATTACTAACTCATAAGGCAGAGAAACTTGAGAGGTAAATTCACATGCCACAGCTAAACCACAGAAATCTATTCACAGTGGTAGTTTTAACACGAGTGGAGGGTCACAAATGGCTTCAATGATATACTTGCAATCACCGTATAGAAAGCTGTAGGTGAGAAAACTTTGCTTCTGAAGTATCTATTTTTTGAAGCGTAAGTTAGCATTGCATATAAAAATCAGTATAAAATTATTTTGGGCACTTTTAGGATCTAATTCACACTGCACAACAGAGCTCACAGTCTTGTAGAAAAATACTTTCAAGCACGAGGTTTCACTGCTTCAACCACAGATACTTGGTTTTCTTCTCTTGACCTTTAAACAATAAAGGTTTATTACAAGAAATAATTGAAGTTGTATTTAAAAAAAAAAAGTAAAATCAGACAGTCAAATACCACCTGTCCTTTCTCTCTACTGAAGAAAGATCTTGAAGGTTTCTTATGGTAAGAAAAGCATACATTAATTCAGCCTCTTGAGAGTATCTGCCTTCTAAACAGTCCCCTCACTTTGCCTACCTGTCAATGTTTCCATCTGTGATATCTTGAGCTTTAGAGGACAGGTCAGTATTTATTTTCTCCACTTGATCTTTATTCTCCAAGCCTATGCTGTTCCCGTTGTACTTCTCTGTGGTTATTTTGGTTGGGTGCGGAGGAGACTGCTCAGAACTTGGTGCCTGGTCCTCCTTAGAGAGCTCCTTCCACCGTTTCTGCAAACAAGGAGAACATATTTCAAACTTCCCCCTAGCACTGAAAGCCCCCTTTGCCCAAAACATCTTCCTGCAGAAAAGCTGCAGAAGCAGATTAAAGAAACCGCTAGATCAGGGGGAAAAAAAAGAGGTAACAATTGCTAGATGAAGAAATAAGGCTAGCTGAAGATGCATCTTCTCCAACAATGATGCCTTTTTGTATTTCTTCAGGATGATGCTATGTGAAGGCATGAGGCCACTAAATCTGGGGTTTGTGCTGTCCACAGTAACTCCACAAAGCAACTTGTCTTGTACAGTACCGCACTGTTCAGCACTTTCCATCTCCCTCTGCTCTCCACAGACCCACGCTATGCTGTTACCTATCATGGTTCCAAAACACAGTAGGACCAATAACTGCCTAAAGAGAGAACTAGAAAAATATACAGCCCTAATTTAAAAAGAAAAAAAAATCTATGCCAAAGCTGTGGTCTATTTCACCTGGTGTCCCATTAGCCCAGAGATCTACTGCATCATGAAACAGATATTTACCTTCTTTGGAGAAGTAATCTGAAGTGAGATGCAAGAAAGAAAACAAAGATCAGAAGAACACCTGGTTTGCCAGATCTCTGCCCTAATGTGTAACCATCCTAATGATGACTAGTCTGAAGGCTTTCTTGCAACATTTCATGCAGAAAAAAACCCTAGAAAGGTAATAGGAAGGAAGAGAATTGGCCCTAAAAACCAATCAGTCCTTTTCTTACACCAACCAGCCAGCCTTTAAGGATATAGAATAGCTTGAGGGAAAAAAAAGTCAGCTACTTCTAAATGTCTGTGATAAGAAAGATGAACTGAAAATTGACTCTTCACAAAGCGAGTGTTAGATTCTCAACTGTCAAATTAATTCAAGACTGCTGGTCTAAACTAAATATCAAACTGAGACTTATTTTAAAAAACACCCATCTACTTATAAATTAACTGCTGTCAGAACGAGCTTTAACGGCAACCCACTCCTCCATCACAGGAGCTTCCAGTACAGATCTGATATTCACAAAGGGAGTTTTCATGCACAGAAGCCGTCACTCTCAGAGGTTTTCTTTCTTTTGTCTTAAACAAACAAACAAAAAGAAACAGCCACTAAACAAAGGGAAATCCACTTAGCAGCTCCATCTCATGTCACGTAAAAAGGCCTTTTGGAAGACCTGGTTGTGTCCATAAGAGGCTTGCTGCGCAAGATAAATACTGATTCCATCTGGAGTGATAAGCCACACAGGAAGAACTGAAATCAGAGACAATTTTACTACTCCTGTCAAACAGAAGGTATTTGCCACCAAGGATTTTATTTTAAGCACGTAAAAACAGTAGCTCAAATGGCTGGTAATTTTAAGTATCTCTGACGACACTACACAAGTGGTAGAACTGGTAAAATAATGGACAACTTGGAGCAGACGGACAAGGAGGACTGGGTTGCTAAGTTACCTTTGCCATTTTACAATAGTACCTGCAACTTTACAAAAAAGACCAAGAAAAATGTATCTCGGGAACTGAAGTACTACACTGCGTCTTGTGAAATTACGTCTGGAAGAAACAAAGAATTGACGAAGTTTGGCTTAAGAAATACAATTGTCCTTAAAATTATAACCAAAATGGCTGTGTAAGGGAGCTCAGACTTAGGGCCTGTATTGCCTCTTGGAATGAATGGACACAACAGAAAGGCACGTTAAGATGCTCAGCTGAAAGAATCGTGTGAGTGTCAGATACAGTTTCCGGATTCACAAGTTTCAGTACAAAATTATAATATTCTTGTTCTCTGCAATACACATTTACAGATCTAAGGAATTCAACCTTCTTTGTCCTATCAAAGCCAAAAGCTTGTTTATCAAAGACCACTAATTTCAACAGATTTTTCTGAAAGAGCAATGGTAAGTTATTCCACTATGTTGTGGAAGCAGTATTAACTTATCTTTATTATGAAGGGATTCTATAGCAATTAAAACTTCAATCCTGTTCCACCTCACCCATTTTATACAGTGCAGTGCTGCAGTATAATCACGAAGCAATTGTTTCAGCTCCAGCACTACGCAGTGGCACACCAACCACACACCTCTGCAGGGCTTCAAGGCAGCCTAGGCCAGAGTCCTATCCTTCCTTTTGGGTACAGGTGGAAATCCCATTGGTGTTAAACGAGGGGAAGAGACTCCTTGCCCGCCCTGATACAAGCACTGCAGTTGCAGCCACCAGCTGCAAACACGTGAAGGTTCCAAGTATACACTGTGCTTTTCTGCACAGTGTACTGACTTCTAAAATCCACGGAGACCATAGAATCATTGAATGTGCTGGGTTGGAAAAGACCTTTAAACATCATCTGGTCCAACCCCCTTGCAATGAGCAGGGACATCAAGCCTGGCCTCAAATATCTCCAGGGATGGGGCCTCCACCACCGCTCTGAGCAACCTGTTCCAGTGATCTACCACTCTCATATTGAAGAGCTTTTTCATAATATCCAACCTAAATCTACCCTTTTCTAGTTTAAAAACATTGCCCCTCATCTTATTGTTACCCGCCCTAGTGAACAGCTCTTCCCTGGATTTCTTATAGGCACCCTACAGGTATTGGAAGGTCGCTACAAGGTCCCCCCGGAGCCTTCTCTTCTCCAGGCTTAACAACTCCAACTCTCTCAGCCTGTCTTCATAGGAGAGGTGCTCCAGCCCTTGGATCCAGCCTTTGTGACCCTCCTCTGCACATGCTTCAGCACTTCAGTGTCCCTTCTGTGTTGGGGGACTCCAGAGCTGGATGCAGTATTCCAGGTGGGGTCTCACCAGAGCAGAGGGGCAGAATCACCTTCCTCGATCTGCTGGCCACACTTCTTTTGATGCAGCCCAGACATAGGAGATGAAGATTTGAGTAATGTTGTACTAGAGAAGCATTCAATGGCTTCATGCCCTTCTCATCAGTAGCAGAGAGAAGTAAACAACTGTCACATTCTGGACAGTACAACTGTTCCATATGGGGGAAAAAAGTGATTTAGCTGACCTTGAAAGGAAAAATACTTCCATTAAGTACTGCCAATTGATTTTCTGCACATGACCCTGAGGCCTAAAGAGAAAAGCACCAAGACAAATGCCTGCACTGCAGAAAACACTGGTTTAAGAAAGAGCATCTGAACAATTATAACAATAGTTAAAAAAAAAAACAAACCACAAAATGAGAATGTGCCTTCCCAGGCATTCTCTTAGCGTGAGGATGTAACATACAAACATGACAAGCAGTACTCTGAGTTGACAATGCTCCCCGCTACCCAGAAACAAAAAAATCCTGTGACTTAGATGGGTAAGTGTGGGAACCAGAGCTGCTCACAGGTTGGAGCATGGCTTTTTAAAAAGCAAACCAGAAAAATTATTAGAGAATAACCTCATACCACCAGAAACAGCTCCCAGAAAACAAAGAGGCTAAATTGCTGTTAGTGTCAGGATAAATCATGCAGTCTCCTAGGTACATGGCGTAGGTGTCAGAGTAGCAGCACACCACCTAGGTGTTCATTAGTAGCTGTCCATAGTAACATGATCTGCATAGCAGATCAAGAAACATTTGCCAAAGAGAAGAATCTGACAACTACCAGAAATACGGAAAGAAGAAATGTGTTTTAGCTTAGCAGTTTCATTCATTATTTTAAGAAATGAACAAACTAAAAAAGCCCTAGCATATGAAAGCAGAACTGAGGTGGTTTCGCAGCCTCTTCTCTCAGTCCTCCCTCCCACCTAGCCCCAGTCATTTAAAATGGCTGTAGCTACTGAAGGCACTTTACTAATAAACGTGATCTGTACTACCAGGCAGCCTTACTGTTAGGAAAACATATAGCACAGATTAAGAAATCCTAAAAAGATCCTTGATACTGGGCATCCCTTTTGCTTTTCAGTACTGAAGATATCAATTTAACCTTTTTTGTTTTTAGACATTTGTACAGACAAGTTACTTTTATATTTTATCTAAGAGGGGAAAAATACACAGAGTTAAAAGTTTAGCTGATAGAAGGCACTGATCAGATACCCTCTGATACCTTCTAGGCACCGACTGAAAAAGGCAAATTATCTAAATCCTACAAAGTTACATGTTTTAAATTAGTTCAGAGCTCATTTTTAACTGTTACCAGTCTACAGTTTATGTTTAAAAACACAGAGCCAAACATTTACCTGTATAGTTGAATCTCCCATTATAAATTTTGCTCCTTCTATTACAGCCATATATGAAAATCTTAGTTGATCAGGAGTCTGAATAAGTCCCATTCGATATTTTCTCATATCCAGTAATACCTTCTTAATATCTACAGAAAATGGGTCTTTTTTTTCCATCTGTAAAAAAGTTACATCAGAGGTATCATTGCCATTGACGAAGAGACAACATATAAAAAATAATCATAAGTAAAAATTAGATCTAAAAATTTATTTCCTCATACGATGTTTCTACAGTTACACACAAAATTAACATCTTAAATTATTTCTAATTTTTCTTTTTTTTACAGGAAAAAAGCAAGCCATCAGATGAAAGCTTATTATGAGCAAAGCTTACTATGATCATGTATTAACCAACTAAGTCAGTACCCTAATATCAAGTATTGGCATGTATTTGTACTTTGAAATAGGACTATAAACGTCAGAAACATAAAGCAGTATTTCCTACTGCTTCTGAATTTGGAATCACCGAATCGCACAGAATCGCAGAAGGTGGCAGAGTTTTCCTTATTTAAACCAGAATCCTAATCCAAACAATGCACACACTTGTCTCCCCTCTCCATTCATGGGGTGTTTTTAACCACGTATCTGCACTTGTTGTAATGTTCACTTTAATTTGTCCAATATTAAAGTATACTTGCATCAGAATATACACCTATGTTTCTCAAAATGCAGAAAAAAGAAAAATTGAAGGAAAAAAAATAAAAGTAAGTTGAGGACCTAACCAAACCAGAAGACAAGCATCTTATAATTTAAATTAAATCCTATTTCACCCAGCCCTGTGCTGTACTTCTCACTACTATCAAGCACAGCCTAAGAGAAAAAAGTCTGGTGTCCAGACTTCAGAATCCAACAAAAATTCAAAGATATTTTAAATATTATTTAACATTTAAAGTTCGCTCAAGTCATGAGCAATTATAGCTGATGCCATTCACTGAGGATGCAAAAAATCTATTAATTGATGTGCTACTGCAACTGGCTACCAAGCTCCACCTCCCAGAGGGCTGCACAGCTAAGGAAGTTCAGCGCCATCCTCCGTTACACGCTGCAGATCAAGCCTGAGTTCTCATCCTAGTCCAGACACTGATTTTTTTGCAACCTTATGAAAAGGGGCCTGTCAGACTTGCGAGATATTCCACGCCTAGAGAAAAAGAATTATTCCGTTGTCTCAATATATTTTCACAAGCCTAACTTTAAGCTTGTGTTAAATAAATCAATCAATCTCAACCTTTCCTAGACACACCTGACAAAAAAGGAAAGGATGCCTATTATTCACTTACAGAAAGCTTTGAAAATGTGTAATGTACTTCAAGATGGATTTGTAAATGTATTTCAAGAGCTGTGTTGTCAAAACGTGAGAAGAAAAAAAAGGTATGGTGTCTTAAAAAGTTTTCACTGGGACATCCTTAACTTAAAGGCTTTTGAAGCCCTCTGACCAAAAAGCCCATATTGAGAAGGGAGGCAGGGTGTCAGGAAAAGGCAAGGGGTGACAAAGAAAATGCCCCAACACTTACCAGCACAAGACAAGTGTCTACTAATGAAAACGTGCCCGAACGTCCTATCCCTGCGCTGCAGTGAACTACTGCAGGTCCATGCTCAGGACTTAGTGACCCAGACTCTCTGACTTTAAACAGGAAGTTCAGGAATGAAGCTGGGGATTCAGGAACTCCGAAGTCTGGCCACGTTGTATAATGAAAATGAAAGATCACCCTGGAGTCGCCACTCTAGAAGTGAAAATAAACAAACAATTTAACGAGAAGAGTACTTTTGTTTAGTTAGCACGCATTTCCCCAATCTAAATCAATAGCTATTTTCTATTTTAAACCTCCCATGCAGACAAACAATCCAGTAACTTGTTTCAGGTTGGATGACAACCAACAGTGCAACCTGAAGTGCTTTTTCAGCTGAGGTGGTATTTTTTCCCCTTTGCAATTATGACCATACGCATTTTTTGCTTCTTGTCAAACTTCCAATACTCTATTTGCTTTGCTTTAATACTTGCTCCCAAATATTCTTCTTTTTCTACCATTGCTGCAGCGTAATGGCTGACAGCAGTTGCTAGGCTGCTGGCATTAATACAATTGAAAAAAATACCCATCGTTGTAAACACTCTCTGCTCTTGCTCAGAGCAACTTTTACTATCAAGAGGTATCAGAATCTCCTCGATACTGACCACACTACTGAGGGGAGCAGGAAGCTCTATGGAAAAGGCTACCAGAGCCCATAGAGCAGGGTGTCTACCAAGACTTCTGCTGGAAATATTCATTCTTTCTAAGTAAGAAAGGATTCCAAAACCATGCAGTTGTTTCAGAACCACGCAGCTCCTCTCCTAACACGACCAACTAACTGCAAGTATTGAAATGACAGCAAGAGACTATGTACATCTCTGAAAAGCTTTGATGACAAATTTGGATCGTTCTATTTTTATGGAACTCACTTCAGACCAGCTGTTAAATGCTACTCCTCGCCACAGTGATTTTGAGACACTTTGATCACTGCTTTAGCTCAGGAATTTTGGAAAGGTTACAGAATCACACAGAATCACAGAACGTTAGGGATTGGAAGGGACCTCGAAAGATCATCTAGTCCAATCCCCCTGCCAGAGCAGGAACACCTAGATGAGGTCACACAGAAACGCGTGCAGGTTGGTTTTGAATGTCTCCAGAGAGGGA